TTAGAATGTTGCCTGAATCTCAACTGTCGTTCAACAGAGCCGGTTGTGGTGCTTTGGATATGTTCTTTATGCACCTCCTGAAAAGAATATATCCAAAACATGGCATGCTGCTACCTGTTTGGTAGCGTCAGTGCAGGGGTGACCAGATTACACCCTGAATAAGTAAAGTCGGACCCGAACTAGACACGATCCTTGAACCAGTGTTGCATGGATCATAAATATAGAATGTTGTGTGGTTATCGCTGGGGACGAATTTGGCGTTAGACCACTTGGCGTGCAGCGATTTGTGATGTTGTCGAGGGTACGCTGCTTACAGTAACAGTTGTAACGATGAACGGAGGAATAGCGCCGAAATAACGGTGAGTAGTTAATATGCCAGGTAGATGTACCAGTAAATAATATGGTAATGTTAGTTATGAAAATCATACATGATCTCTTTATGCGGGAGATGTTATAATCTTTAGATAAGTCACGGAGTGGAAGACAACGTGCAAAATGTTCTTTAATTAATGATGTCCCTAATTAAAGATCATTTTGTTCGTTGTCTTCCAGTTTATGACTTACCTAAAAATATTAGTTATATGAAATATACCAATGACAATTCCAAAATAAGCGTGAGACCAGTTGAAATTATAACCACAAACAGGCAGAATACATACAATAATAATCAGCTATAGTTAAAAATGAGATTATACCATCATGGCTTAGCTATAGTTTTTGATAATTAACTTATGAACTAATGGCCATTGAAGGCGATAGTACTTTTAGCTTGTATGCAAAATGAATTCTTCTGTCATGACGAGTTTAAATGCATCGATAAAACAAAGGTACAAGACGGCGTTAAAGACTGTGCTGACGGCAGTGATGAAGGTTAGTATACTTTTAAATCCATTTGAATTAAAAATGTAATATTTATTTCCCTTTTGCTAATAAGAACCTAATTCACGCAAAACGGAGATTTACCAAACCCATTTACCTAGATTCCTAAAGCAACATGATCCAGTTGAATCGATTGATTATTTTGGTGGCCGTCGTAATCGATTAATCGGTCACTTCGATCATTGTGATGATTTTCATGGTGCTAGTGATGATTTGAAAAGTTTGAATGTTGCTGCCTCGTTGATGAGAAAAAAATTTAATCATAACACATGCTTTGAATTCGTTCAAACCTATAATGAATGCTATCCTCTCACTAGCACTCGCTTTATCGCCAAAATCATGAAAATGATAATAGACATTGTTATTCCACTGCATCGCTGGTAATCATGTTGATGATCATGATTATCGATCATTTCGTTGCTTGTAACCGGCTTATGGAAACGGAAAAATCATGGCATGCTGCAGCCTAGTTCACAACATTGTCCAATTAGCAAAGTAAAGCGTAGCTTGGACAACAGAACAGTGAGTGTTGACCAGCTGTTGGCGGACAGTGCAGTCGGACGTCGAACTTTGTCTCATCGCAGGGTTTTGAGCAACATCTGCGAAATAGTATTGCAGCATATACACGTTGGGCCCGTTGCTTGCCATTATGAGAAATTTTTTCCTGTCGATGCCGAGCATGCAGATTTTCGAGACTGATACCATATATTCTTCTACTGAAGCTGAAAGGAAGCGGAAAAGCATAAAAAACTGTATCGAACATATCAAAGAAAGAAACAATAATATACAGGTATAACATTCTGAGTAAGGATTCATCGCCCTAGTGAAGAAATTGCAAGAATGCTAGACCACAGAAAAACTGCACATTTCCAAGTTCTGGAGCAGCTTTCCATTTTCACTAAGCAATCAGTGACTTCGTTTAGTCGTTTGGTCAGTCGTCAAGCTCTGACCTCACTCTCGGAAGTTGGTGGATCGAAGCCAACGCTTCTGTACGAAGTTAAACCGTCGTTCTTGCGCCTTCGTTAGAACAACTTTTCCATGCGGTACAACAAAACTGGCCTCACAGAGACAAAGTACAGGCGGGTTTTTGTGGTAGGAAACATTACTTTTTAATCCTCAATATTGGATAGGCCTCCAAGAGTAATTAGGAGTAGTGCGATCCTTCTGTTCAACTGTGGCGGTGATAGAGCTGAGATACTTAAGTGTACCAGTTTTCAAGCGTTTCGCCACCCGGTTTCATTTTAAAATTTTCATTTTTAAATTCAAAGCCATTCCGATGGGTACTTCATAACGTCTCACATCTGCGCATTAATGAAAATGTTGTCTTTCGCAGCTTTGTCGCATGCGAAAACCGAAAGGTGACAGAGCCCGATCCGCGCATCACTCACTAAGACCGTTCATCTGCGCACATTAGGTCAGCAAGAAAGCCAGTCAGATATCTTGAACTGTGCCTTCCTTCTCGAACATAACGTTGGTGTTTGCTAGGGTTGAAAGTTTCAGTGAAGAAAGTCACGAACAATGTTAGATAGCAAAGGGAAAAGCACATCCCCCTGTGGGACTCCACAGTTAGTAGAGATCCACTCAGATGGCTCTCCTTCAGTTTTGACAGAAGACATGATTCCGGTATGTAATTTTTACAGTTGAAAGGATGAAATCAAGTATCCCAGAGCATTTCAAGAGTTTCCGCATCGTTGGACGACTAAAGTCGAAAATAATGGAAAGTTTTAAGAAACACGCACCGTTCGATGTCTTGCTTCGCTCTTGCTAACTTGTGAAATATTGTCTCATGATTATTCATGTTTATTCAACAAAAAATATGTTTCAGAATGTTCACCGTTCCAGTATCGTTGTCGATGTGGAGCTGTGAAATGCATTGATATCGAGAGAATTAACGACAACTATCCGGATTGTGATGACGGATCTGACGAGTTCGGTTTTCAACATACTGATCAGTTGTCTTATGCGTGTACCGAGCAGCAATTGGAAGTCAGCGATTCCGTACCCATATCGTTCGCTCCGCCCCTGATCCCTTGTACGGCTTCAGTGAAGCTGCGGTGCAAAGCAAACAGCAACGAAATATGCATTGTAATACTAAATGGACCATGTCATTCACAATTATTATTAACTATAATTTAGATGATACTAGGAAAGCCGACTTGCGCTTGTAGGCGCGGGTTTACCCGTATCCGTGGAAGGACCGATTGCTTGCCAACCGAGCCAGTATATGTTTGGGCAGCCGCTTCAACGAATGCCGAACAGGGTCAAAAGAGACCGTACCTCTCGCGCGATTTCACTCTTCGATCAGAGAGACTCTGTCGTAGGCGGGACAACAGATCGTGCATAAGCGAGAACGAAATTTGTGCGACGAAGCATGGTATGCTGTCCTGCACCTGCAAAGCCGGATATGTTCGAAACCCAAGCAACGAGTCATGCCAGAGTAACAAGTTGACCTGTTGAATTTTCAGTACATGAGGTACATTCTCTGTTGTGTGCTTGTCAAGGGTTGCAGAACGAATGCGAAAAGAGCAGCACTAATGATTGCGACGTCAACGCGTTGTGCATCGATAATCCGCTGTCGTACGAATGCCTGTGCAAGGAGGGTTACCTGGACACGTCGCCTCTTCCACACTCGCTGCCCGGACGAAGCTGCATTCCGCGTATGTGTTCCTTAACTTTTTTTAACTACAAAATACTACTGACAATCAGATGCGCAATGTCAAATGTACGATTCAGTGATTCGTTGATAAAGTCATGTAATCCCGTTTCTCTCTATTTCTTCTGTACCGTATTCACTAACCAGAGACAGACAAGGGAACAAAATACTTTTGTACTGGGTCAGGGCGGGATAAGTAACATGTAGAGTGATGGCACCTTTTTTGCTAAACGTGCATGTTCATTACATCCTATTATGAATTGGAAGTTACGCTTTCATGCATGCCGGATATTAATCAGCGCTATTATGTCGTTCCGCATAAGTTTCCGAAAATAATGGAGGTTTTAGACGACTTTCGATAGAAACTGCATAACAAACCGGTAGTTACAGTTATGTTCGTGTTATGGTATATTATGTTCGAACCGGCACTGCTGTTTGGCTGTTTCCCATTCCAGCATGCTGAGTTCAAACCTCTAAGATCTTTGAGTTCAGCGGATGACTTAAGTATCTAGCGACGACTGACCTTAAAGCGCCATGCTGATTTGTCAACTCTACTTTGGGCCGGACGATCAATAAAACGATTCGTAATATGACTTATTAGCTTTTCCTGAGTGTTCTTATATGTTACGGGATCAGCATGAGCCAAGCGAAAATAAGGCGGCTATAAACAAGTGAAGAAGTAAAGAAGTCGATTCTATGACCAAAGGATTGGAGGCCATCATTTCGTTCATATGGAACCAGTGAAGAAATCGTGGCGAAATATTTTCACACGTTCATATTATCAAATATATAAACGAGCATACAGAAAGTCCAGCAGTTTTGCATCTTCGAATATCTGTCATTCAATTTGTTCTTTGGCCGGCGGATCAGGTCCACTGAAAATGTCGCCTGAAGCAGTTCGAAAAGAATTGCTTGGAAAGCGCATAAGATGCTGATGACTCAGCTGTGGGTCTAAAGGATGAACGAACGACGCTGATCATATGTGATATGTAGATATCCACATCATCGAGTATCAATGACTCAGTAGAATTGCGTTGGACCAATAAAAGAGGCCCAAACAAGAAAAGTTGTGGATCATGTCGTCATTAAATAAATCTGCTCTTCTGAGTCTTCATCTTCATCTTCCATCGCCGCTTCTCCTTTCGGGTCGCGGTCTTCTGAGTGATTGACGTTAATTGCAATTTGCCTCTCATAGGCAGGTCGACCTGTACCGTGTTCCTCAATGTTGCATGAAGGCCTCCTGGCAAACGTTGGCCGATTTTGGCCCCTACGCGAGAAGTACATGGTCTGGGGTAAATGGTTTATGTTAAACTAGTTTGATGAACGGGGTTAATTTCATTTTTTTATTCTACACAACTACTAAGCTCTTGTATCCGGAACAAAATCGAGTCATTTTTTATATGGTGCCATTTGGCCATTGTTTTGCGTAGATGCTAACGTTGCTGTGCGCAGTTTAGCAGTCGTTCTTACTTTTTCGTTTAAACGACTGCTACCATGCCGTACGAAGACACTGACACCTGACAGAGTCAAACAACAGGCGAATTTCCGTGGACAAGTTTTCAAACGGATTCGAGCAAGGGCGATCCTCGCATTCAAGTCAGATTTGATGGTCCCATCGATAGAGATGATGGGACCGAGATATTTAAATTGGTCAACCTCTTGATGCACTTCGCGTCCTTGTTGTACTTCTCTGCTGGATGAGTTCTTCATAACTGCTGGCTTCCGGGTATTAAGGAAGAGGCCAGCTTTTCACAGTTTTGTTATATATGGTTGCCGTCAAATTAGAGAGCCTGCTCTTCTACAGTTCACAGGAATATATCATTTGCATACTCCAGATCAGCAAGATATCTAACCGGATATCTTGAACGGCGCTTTCCCTCTAGAATGAGTCCTTTATCTTTGTCACAGTGAGTAGTGTAAAGGAGAAGATCGAGAATAATGTTGAATAACAGAGTTGGCGCACATACTCCTGGCGAACTCCATAGGTTAATAAGAAGAAACCACTCAGATAGCTTTCCTTCATCTTAGACAGCAGATTTATCTAAGGCGCACATGCTTCCCAAAATGGAAACGGTGTATTTAGGTATCCCGTAGCGTTTCAATATTTCCCGCATCATTAAGAAAGTGAGGGCTTGTCGTCTCCACTTTCTTGCAGTCATCATATTTTGGTCATGAAGATCAAACCAGAGAGTGCACCACTTTAGACTCCGGTCAGGAGGTACCACCACGACATGAAGAATGTATGGGCAACGTTTTCTAATGGCGAATTAACTAGCTCTGAACTTTAAATGTTGTGATACCAGTGCATGAGTCACTGAGGACCTAATGACAGAAGAAATTATCAGACTCACAAAATGCATAAATGCATTTCCGTTGAAGGAGCGAATTCTGCAAGAACACGAGAGGCCTGACCTTGCATTTGTCTCAGGCTCATTAAGCAGGTAGTTAAGTCGTCTATTGAAGTTTTGTCATTTTAATACCCTGGGGGCTACCTCGCCGTCAAGTTCGATGATATCAACATTCGCTGACGTTGCCGGTTCCATTAGATCATGTTTTCAAAGGGAAGGTTGTTGACTCTTGTGGAAGAATGCAAACATTTTCCTTTTAACCTATGGGTATAGCGAAGCTGTTACGTTATCGAACACTGACGAATGTTCTTTTAGTTTGCTTATGGTATTTTGCATATTCTTCTGAACGTGCAATATTTAAAATGAATCTACAAAGCATACCGGGTGCATCAAAATATATTTGTATGCCAGAGTTTGTCAAGTAATGCATCTCCTCCAGACAGGATTTCACGAAACACTGCAACTCACCGTTTCTCCCACCTGCCTATGAGGACGCAGGTCATCGCTCAGTGGTATTTGAAAATCTGCGCTGTTACCTGCATCTCACATGATTTTCGGGAGCAAAGAAGCGATGCATTACACCATGAAATCTGGTCTTGGACGGGTTAGATGTTATTTGTCATAAACCAGCTTATGAACATATTTTGATGTTTGTGCGCTAGAATATAAAGAGCACAAACGCATGAAATATTGCCTGAAACGAGCGCGAGATGGCTTTAACAAATAAAATGATACGATGTGCATCTGGTACCGTACATCTTGCTCAAATGTCATGTTTAAATGACCCTCCCTCATGTAATCCTCACAATCTTGAAGGAGTTATGCGTTGTTTTAAAGGCAATGCCAGCTAGTCAGTTGTTGTCGTGACCACGAGGACATGCCATGTGTCAGGCACAACGGCGCGATGTAATAAAAACCGACTGCTGATGGACGCGTTTAAGTTGAACAGGTCTATGGTTTGAACAGGACCACTCAGGAAACCATGACTTTCAGCTTGGATAAATGCAAATTGAAGTCCACGAAATTAAATTGTAAATAATCAACAGTGGGACACATAAATTTATGACACTCTAATATTATACACCCTTGTTTTAGTGCAATTTAAATGCAAGGACGAAAACGGAAGCGCGTGCGATTCAAATGCAGAATGTCTGCATATTTTGGGAAGCTTTATATGTCGCTGCAAACCCGGATTTTATGACGCTTCTCCTGACAAGCTGTCGAATCCTGGAAAAGCATGCATCGAAGGTAAGGTAATTTCGAGACAAATGCTGTACGTTTTCGTGGCTGATGACTATGCAATAAGATATTAAACAGTCTTCACTAAGAACAGGAGTGACGGTAAATCGTCCGTATGCCAATCGCTTTAAAATCGTACAAAATGCTTAAACAGGATATGGTGACGAAATCATTCATAATCTGAAACGATGTTTTACTTTGCTCAACACTGACAATTATGACCTGACGTTTAACAGTGACTGCAATGAGTAAAGTAATTTACGTCTTTATGAAGTTTATTGCTTTTCAGTGATGAGATGAAGTCTTAATTTTATGCACATTGTTTGAAATCTTTATATAAGTGTAAATTTCTTGAGTGCTATAATCTTCAAAGCTTATGCCGCATTTAAATTTTATCGAAATAATTTGAGATTGACCTGTGCAAATATATGGAAGGAGTCGGTTTCAGGCTCCTGTTGTTTTCTGCGGAAGCTCACACTCTGGCACAGGATCGGGAACGATGGAAGCTCTGTCTGATGCGTCTGCCTCCGCTATCAGACAGGACGATGAAGACGACATAAATTTATCCTTTTCTGATCGAGCTGGATCAGGCTATATAAGACTCCTCAAAATTTATTCTACTCGATCGAAAGGAATGAAATTTATTTTAACAGAATTGATATGCGATATGAGTCCTTTGAAGATTATGACGACCAAAGGAATTATAATAATAATCATAATATTTAATTCCGTGATTGCGACATGTAAATAATTTGAAGAATTTCCGTGCTAGCTTTTGATTTAATTTTAACCTTGTTTAACAGACCACCGTGGGAAACTCAGCAGTTGATTGACCGGTTCCTCAGTGTAGTGAAAATTCGTTGC